TTCAAAGTCCTGTTTTTAGATCAGCTATTGGTACTATGAAGTTTGAATTAACCAATTATTTATTTTTTATTATTTCCTTGTTAATCTTCACTTGAATTTTTTCCCCTATTTTTTTAAGTGTGTGGAAGGGGCGGGGAGAGAAACAATGATGAGAGAGACATCCATCAGGTTGCCTCCTGCACACACCTCAACCCAGGCTGGGGATCAAACCTAGTTGCAGATACATGCCCCTGACCGGGAATTAAACCCTCCAACCTTCGGTGCCAGGGCTGATGCTCCAACCACTGAGCCACATGAGCCAGGGCAATTATTTACTCTTTAAATTCTCATATCTGTAAATCAAATGACACTCTACCCAAACTATTTTTTATGACCTTGGAAGAAGTAAACAACGTCTGCAAAGGTAATGATCAATATTTTAATTCCTATTTCCCATTACCCATTACAAAAATAAATATTCCTTGAACATCTATACGCACAGTACTTGGCTAGGCTAAAAGTGAAGAGGAAGTGACGATTTTTGTAATCCAGATGAATATAGCACAGAGAAATGCTTAACTAATAATGATGATGATTACATTACAAAATTGAGCCATCTCAGAAATAACTTTCATAAGCACAGGGCAGAATAGGAGTCAGAGAGAACAGAACTGGATTTGATCAAGAGACAAAAGAAAGAGGAGTCACTAAGTTTAGCTAGGCAGAGTAGGTTGCTATATCCTTTGGGTTCCCAAAGCACATCACTCATCTGTTACTGCATTTAACACACTGTACAGCAGTTTATTTGTCATCCCCACTCAGACTGTAAACTCCTCAAGGACAGAAATCTTGTTCAATTCACTTTTCTATCCCTAATCCTTAGTACGGGGTCTGGCACACAGAAGATTGTAAATGTTTTTTGAACAGGCAAGGTAACGACATGATTCCCTATTTAAATTATTGTATTTTAAACCTAAGCAATTTGTGCAGGTCATTAAGTCACTGATTCTCAACTTCAAAACCATAATTCTAGCCTCTGATCTATGGTGCTGTAACTAAGACTGTGCAACTATATTTAAGTACTCTTCAGCCAGTGGACTTCTTGTGAGGCTCTGCCAGTGGAAGTAGTAAATGAAGACTTGAAAGAAGGAAGAGGGGTGAGGGGACTTCCTCACAACTACTGGCAGTAGCAACTGGTTCCAGGCCCCAGCTTCTTTCTACACTCCTAGAACTAGCCATATCAGCCACTGAACAACACTGACCTTAAAAGTTCGGAACCAGGCCCATGGAACCTCTTCTCTGAGCTCTTAGCTTGACTACTGTAATGTTCTCTTTTCGTTCTTACACCTATCTAAACCAACTCCCTATGTTAAATCCCCACTTGAAATTCCTATTGAGGTTTCTGTTTTCTTTACTGGATGGACACCAATACACTATTATAAGTGATTCTAACCGCTCTCCTCTGCAATACCTACTTGATGCTTCATTGAAGGAAAAAGTAGTTTGGAGTTACTCCTATGGATAAAATCTATTTTATAAAGGATAATTCAAAACCTTTTAAATTTGTGCCTGTTAAACTGCAACACAAAAATTATTAACTTTTGTGATTTAAACTATCCAACTTGAAAAGACAGAGAGGAAATGAGAAATATGTAAAGAGTGCAAGCTATTCCAAGCATGTACACCCACCTCCTTGTATTAGAGCACATATCCTAGGAAAAATAGGAGACGGTAGGGCTGATCTGCTGTACCTCAATGGTCTCAGTTCCCATAAGTGTCTCCCAGTATGAGCATTATACTATTCTGAGTGTAATTCTTGTATTTAAAGATGTATTTATTTATTTTTGCTGTTCAACATGGCCCCTACATGCAAACTAACTACTTCATCTAGTGTTTAACAAAAGAAACAGCAATCTGTTCCAATACTAAAGCTAAGCTGAACTTATTGGTATGTTTTTTTCCATTCTGAAGAGATTTTCAAGCACAATTTTTTCCTACATGTGATTTTCATTTTACACATTGACTTCAGAATTTAACCTATTCATAATATACAATTCCACTCTATAGCAGAAACAAAAAGAAATCCCTCTTGCAAAAGAGCCCACAATCAACACATCTTTTGAAAGCAAATGACCAAAATGCTTCGATATTTTTCATATGATCTATTACTTCACTTAATAAGATGGCTTCATTAAACAATTTATTCTGAGATTAATTTCAAAAATAATTTTTCATTATTGTATTTAAACTGATTTTTTAAAAGTATAACAAAACGGATATGTAGAAGCAGCAAACATGTTGTAAACCCATTTTCTCAATAAAATGGGAGGCCAATTCAAAAAACAGGACTCTTTCTAAGAATGTTTAGTAATGTATGTAGGTGCTAAGCATCCAACAAGAGGTATCACTAGGCTCAGACATTTACTAATCCACTTCAGCTGCCTAACATCTGTAAGACAAAAGAGAAGAATCTCAAACTTGAAAATGTACATCCAGTTCCACAGGAGTTCCTCCACACAGCATAAAGCTGAGTAACAGCCCACCTACCTCCTGCCTATGGACCCCAGCTTCTATTTCAATGCCAAGAGTTGCATTACCAGTCAGTATATCCATGTAAAAATCAACCAAACTGTACTCCTTACAAGACACACCAGAGAACCCATTTGGCATATTAGGTAGAAAAGATGAAAAGACTGGGTGTGGGGAATAGACAGGATATATGGACCTGCAGGGAATGGAAAGGGTAAATGTTACTATGCTTTTGTACCCCAAATTATATGGGGATCTAAACATTCAATAAGTTACAGAGAAGTGAAAAAAAAATCAAGAAATTAAATAACTGGTGGTGTCTGATGACAATGTATGTCTCCCACAGCATGTGTAATAAAGAATACTAATTAAAAATCAAGCACAGATCTGTATGTGTGCAAAATATACATAATCTCAAAGTGTTTTTCCTTTTTTCAAAACTGCAAATTGTGATGCATTGTTTAATTTCTCCAGATTTAATAAATGAGCCGCTACAACATTATGAGATGCTTTAAGTCATACTAGAAATGCTGTCATAATTTTAATAAAGTGCTTTTTAATGTTAACTCAATTCTCTTGGCTGGAAAGAATTATGGCTCTTTGCTAATGTATAGAAATGAAACTGTCACTGAAACATCTGGTTATATATTATTCATTAGACATATATATCACCTTTACTCCAATGACTGCATAATATAAACACAAATCATGAATAAATCAGATTAAAGAGACAGATCTGACATCCAAAGATGTTTGGGGACCTGCTCTATCTTTCTATCCACACAAACCTAGGAGCTAGCTGTCTGAGTGCTCCCCAGAGGCAGAGGAAAACTCAAAATTCTCCTGTCTGCATTGTCTGCATTATGTTAGTGGTTCTAATGTGAAATTTTTCTATGCAGCACATTTAAGGACCATCAGCATATTTTTCAAATACTCAAAGGGGCTACGCTTCTCAGGCAGTTTTCCTTCATAAATTCTCCATTTCACTTCTACACCTATTATAATAACCTCAAATGTGGGCTCCACAAGGTTACCTGAAGGAAATAACTCAAATCCCTAGAAGTGAGAGGCCATATTTGCTGTGCTATCCCTGGAAAATGGAGTCTTGTATAACTACCCACTATTTTACTAAAAAGTGAGTTCAGTGTACAATCAAGATTTTAAAAAATACCTGTTGATTGTGACAAGTAGAAACTTCGGGGGAGGGGGGGGAGGAATAACCAAGAGTCATGTTGCTGCCATTTAAATTCTTTATAAATCAAAGGATCAAATATTCATTTTAAGAACCGGGATCTAACACCCATCTACGCTACTAAAATATTCAACAACTATACCCTAAGGCAAGCGGGGAAAGCAGACTACCTCCCCATTACACTAAATATTTCAGCCCATCATCTCGGAACTACCAAGTCGATTATGTAATACGAATCACTCATACACCAGTTTTCAACCCGATTCTCGGTCCTAAAACAGGGAAACCAGGTCTCAAATTTCTTAACAGAAATAAAGCACGGTACTACAATAACTGAATGCAAACCTATCCTTTCCACAGCACATTTCTCTGCACACCGCAAGGCGACCTGACATTTTCCCACCGTTTGCCCACGTAAGGGCACACGTCCTCGAAAACTTCTGACAGGCCTGGAGGAGGGACCCCAAAAGCCTGCCAGGAGATGAGCCATCAGGATTACGGCTCTAGCCACAAGTAACGGGAATGAACCTGCAAGTCGTCGGGGACCAGTTTTTACCACCAGTAGCTCCGGGAGCAGGGGAGGCGGCTTCGGAAGGAGGGAAAGGATTCCGACAAGCCGGTGGAGGGCTCCCCGGCACACGGGCTACCCCAGGGCTCCGCGGACAGGACAGGATCCCAACCCGGCAGCTCCCGGCAGCGCGAAGCGAGCGCCCCCTCCCCCACGCCTCCTCGGGCGACGCGTCCGCAGAGCAGCAGCAGATCCTCCCAGGCCGCGGGCAGGCTGGCGGCGCTCCAGGAATGCGTCCACGCCAGCGTCTCCCGGGCCCCCCGAGCGCTCCCGCGAACCCCGACTCCAGCCGCGGGAAGGGGCCGTCTGCACAAAGCGCCCCTCCCCGCCCCCACGGGTGGACACCCGCTCCGGGCTGCAAGCCGCTGGGAGGAGAGACCCCGCGTTCCACGCCCGGCAGAGAGGCAGGGGCCCCGCCGGGGAGGAGCGGGCCGGGGCCGCGCCCGCTGGGAAGCTGGCGCGAGGGGTTCGAGGGGTTCGGGGCGAAGGAGGGAATCCCTGAGCTTTCCCCACGGGGGCCTCCACAAGCCCGATTCACCATCGCCGCCAAGACCCTCGAAGAAACGGGAACAATGAGAAGCCGCCATCCCCGCCCGGAGAGCGGCCGGGGGCGGCGACGCCATCTCCCCTCACACCCCCGCGGACACACACCCCCGGCCCCGCCGCCGTCAGCCGCCCGCATCCCGGCCTGGCCCCGCTCCCGCACCCTTCGCCTCCGCCCGCCCCGCTCACCGGCTCCTGCCCCAGCCCGGGACTCCGCGGACCGCGGCCGGAGCGAGACTCGGGGACAAGCCGCCGCGGCCGCCGGCGCCGCCGCACAATATGGCGAGCCTCGGCTTCCGCAATGGAGCTCGGGAAATCCAACAGGGGCCACTCAATATTCATGAGAGACCGAGGGGAAGCCGGCTCGGCCAGTGCTGCGGGGAGGGCGGGAAGCAGCGAGCGAGGGGCGGAGGCGCAGGCCGGGGACGTGCTAGGCGCGGGAGCGCCTCCGCGTGCCGCCTGGAGGCCCCGCCGCGCGCCCCGCCCCGCCCCGCCGCGGCCCCGCCCCCGCGCGCTCGGCCCACGCAGCCCCCGGCAACGCCCGGCAGCGGCGGCGCCACCTCTCCGTCCGGCGCCTGCTGCGCTCCGAGCCGGCCTCCGCACACCGTTCCGCTTCCCTGGCCGGCGGGGGTTCGCGCCGGAGTTCAGCCCTCCGTGCCCGCCCCCAGCTCCTACACCCTTCGCGCCGGGTCGAAGGGCTCCGTGGGCATTCACCTCCGGGACTTCACCTGAACTTCGCCCCCTGCCTCCCCCTTCAACAAAGGCACGCTTTCCACCCTGCACAGGGAACCTACAAGGTCCAGTGACCCCGGAGAAAATGACCTTCAGTTCTCCAAGTATATTGTTGGACGTCTGTAAGCGTTCTGACTGTTCTCATCAGCTCTTATTGACCTGGCTGCTGGTTGACTCCTACCCTCCTTGGCCTCCTCCAGTATTACCTCCCGAATTTGAGACTGTGTTAATGGAGTAAATACATGTAAGCATTAGCTGAAACACAGCAATCTAGTCGACCAAAAATATATATAAAATGCATCAAAAAATAAGCTATATACTGAAGAAGTGAAAGAGTTCCCTAATCTCAAGAGATTTATAGCCTCCAATGTGTGGGTCTCTGTGTGACTTAAGTAAATTACATAACTCCTCTGGATTTATTTTTCTTATTTGCAAAATGAGGGGATTGTGTTGAAGGATTCGTAGGTCCTTTCCAGCTCTGGAACTCTAAAGCTCTCTACACGCAATGCCAAATAAGTGATGTGAATTTACTCAGGACTTTGGAAAAGAAAAAGATCAATTCCAGCTGGTGTGTTCAGAGATTTCCTGGAGAGCGAGGATTTAAGTGTTTAAAATATTAGAGACAATGCATTATGTGTCTTACCTGTCAATCCATTAAACAAGAACAAAGCATTATTATTTTTCAGTGACTTGGAAACTTTCACCTACTATAGCTTTAAATAAGAAATTATAATTCTCAGATTCTACAAGCCCTTCAAAGTTAAACCCTTCCTCCAACGTGAAAGAAAAATAATCAGTAATGCTTCCTTCTGGTAAGGGTCCACTTTCTAGACAGAGTGCAATTGCAGAAGCATCTCCCGTCTTTGTTTATGATTGCATGTGTAATTCAATTAAAGATCTTCATAATTCAGAACCTTTTGCTCTATTCAAAATGTTTATGAAAACAATGATGTGTGGTTAGATTAAGAAATTCAATTAATGTTGAGAAAAGTGATTATTTGTAGAAAGCACCGAAATTTTATGGATGAAAGTTAAATATAGTACTTTAAAAAGATTCTCAGGAGAATTAGTCGGAAAATGGAAAACTTAAGGGATATCTGGATTAAATGTGATTAAAGAGCTAGACCTCAGGCTAGCATCCTTAATATGGAAGATACTACTGACAAACTTATGGAACTCCTATTACCTATAGTATCTCTTACTCAAAAACTTGGCACTATGAGAATATTAAGGGCTTTCCCTAACAGTTTTAATTAGGAAAGGTTATGTTATAGTGTAGTAACAAACATGTCCAAAATCTCCATGCCATAACACAACAAACGTTTATTACTTGCTCATGCTTCATATGGATCAGACTCAGTCTGGACAGACAGGGGGTCTGCCATCTTGAAACTGCCTCACCTAGAATGTAACAACTGAGTTTCTGTGGCAAGAAAGAAGGTGACTAAAGAATCCCCATGAGCTATTCTCAGCCTTAGCCTGGAAAGGAAACAGATCACATTTCATTGGCCAAAACTAGTTACATAGCCTCCCCCATCTACAAGGGGACTGAATCCTTGAACCCAGTCTTTAAACCAAGTTTAGGAGAAGTGGGGATGTGATGAACAATACCAAAGTCAACCACCCAGACCTCCCCATTCAGCTCCTTGGTATTGTGAAAAAACTCCAAGAAGTTTTATTTCATAACACTGGATCTCTTGAGTAGCTTCCAGAAAGTTATGCTTTCAAAAATAAACTCTCTATACTTGTTAAGAGTTGACTATTGTGTAAATAGAATGGACTTTCCATTTTCTTCCCCTTTGTTTTAATTGTATAGTAAATCAAAGTCAAGTCCATAGTCAATAGTGACTTGACATATCCAGCCTATTCTCTTTTTTGCTAATTTTTTTTACTTGACATTAGGGATATCACTGTGAAAAACATTTTATACTAACATTCTGCCCCACTGTTAAAGGTACTAAGAAGTGATAATCATATTTTAAGTAAGAAAACTGCATTAGCACTAATAGGTGGATGACTAGATGAACTCTAGTTAAAATTTTTTTCTTCTTCAAAACTTTAGAAGCAATACCCTGTTAATCACACAGTGAATTAAGTAGGCATCTCTGATCACAAAAATCACCTTTCTACTTGCTGTCTGCTATGTGTAATGCTACAGAATTAGATTAGTTCAGCTCAATCAACTTTTATCGAGCATCTATTATGTGCCTACGCTTTTTCAAATGCTTGGAGTAAAGATATTAGTGTAGCTTATGTAATTAGGATATTAGTTCCTTGAGAGCAGAAATCTTGCCTGTCAGTATATACCTAGAGACTAGCACGATGTTTGGCACATATAGTAGATGCTCAAGAAATAGGTATTAAGAGAATGAAAGACTAGGAATCTTTTATCCCAGTGTGTATATGAAATAGAATGAGTTTGGTTTGCCTTTCACTGTTATTACCTAAGAGCAGAAATTTCTATCAAGATTGCAGAGGCTTTCTTTATTTAGGCAGTGTGTCTTAAATGGAAATTCACACCTGCCTCTTCTATATCCACCACATGGATTTCTTTTCAGCTGTGCTCCAAATATCTCATTGTTGTCTGCTCCTCTGAGGTGAAGACTGCAGGCCACCAATAGATAAGCTATGTATATAAATCATTTTAGAGCGCACTTTCTTTTTCAAAGAACTATATTGATTTTAGAGAGGGAGGGAGAGAGAGAGAAACATCCATCAGTTGCATCCCACACTCGCCCCAACTGGGCATCAAACCTGAAACCTGGGTATGTGCTCTGACTGGGAATCGAACCTGCCACCTTTCGGTGCATGGGACAATGCTCCAACCAACTGAGCCACACAGGCCAGGGGAGAGAGCACTTTTATATCTGTTATTTCACCGAATCTTCACAATAATTCTCCAAGGTATTATTCTGACTTTATAGACAAGGGAAATGTGACTTTTGTCACATTGAGCTCAAAGTGGCAGAGCTGAGGTTTAAACCTATGTCATCTGACTACAAGTCCAAGATACTTTCTATTAAGCTGTATGTGCCTTCTAGCTCCACGCTGCAGACACAATTCCAGCATTTTTTTTTCTTTCCAACTGGTAAGCAGTATGTGAGACAAACATCTCCAGAGCTTCCTCTCAGCACTAGTTATTATTCCAAACCTCAGTGTGGTCAATTGTCAAGAAGCTTAAGATGATGTTATGAATCTGATCCAGTGACAGAAACCTGGCAGGTTTTTGTTTTTTTTTTAGAAAACTTGCTTTAAGAAAACAAAACAAAAACCAAAAGGTAGGTTAGAAGCTGGAATAACTTGGGATTTAATCACCATATATTTATTTAGTATCTTTAGATGTGTTATGCTTTCTTTGAAAGGGTCAAGTTAAGTAGGGACGTTGTAAAAAGGCCTAAGCAGACTTGTAATTCAAGGTGGCTTCAGGAAGCAGACAACTCCAGATTTACAACCTCTTCAGCTAATATATATAGGGCTAGCCACAAGCTTTAGTTAAGTTTTATTTGTTTCAACACAGTATATTTCTTTTTGTGACACTTCCCTTGGTGTTTTGGCTCATTGTTCCTTTTTATATTCCCAAGACAACCAAAATAATTGCTGCTACTCTTAACTATCCAGTTTAAAGGAGTAAACCAGATTAAATAAGATGGGCTAGTTAGACTTTTGAGGAGAACTAAACAATATTGCTATTTCCCTCGTATGGTGACTTGGAATGGTATTTTTATATGTCCCAGATGTGGCCACATTCTGTCTAACATCTGTTAGTGCATTTTATTAAAATAATGAACTAGCATGTGTTTGAAAAGACAAAAAAATGAATAAAATTTTTCATTTTGATGTCGCACGAATAGTCGACTGTGTTTTGGCAGTGAATAATGGAGTACATAAACGGGAAATAGTACTGTGATATCACATGTCAAACACAAAATAAAGTACAATTTAACAATGAATGGTTTTAGTTTTCTAATATGAAGAGAGTTTACTCCATTCAAACTCTGTAGGTTTTTCCTTTCAAAGTGTTTACTGTAAGAGATGGAGCTTGTGCCTTGGCATTGATCTAGTAACACCAAGAATCACCCTGGGAACTAGCAAGGAGTAGATAATTAAGATAGAAATCCAGAACTCAGATGGGAAAGAAGGCTGGAAGATCCCGGAGGGAAAGTACAAAAGATTTCAATCGAGTCACAGCTTGCTCAGACTGCCTTTGTGGACATTTCAGTTTTTCCCATTTAAAGCAAACGTGGGGCCAGAATGTTGTTTGTGGGTGAGAGACTGGAGGGTAAAGACATCTCTTAACTAACACAGTTCTTAGAAAAAATTTTTTTGGTAAAGAATTTAAAAGAACTGCCAAATCCTACCAATACAAAGAAAGTTTCGTTTTATTTTAGACTACATCAAGATCTGGAAACCTCTGCAGTGTCCATCTGACTCATTAGCAATTTGTACTTCACAAAAGTAAACCATTTAAATGTACATTAAGCAGCATACTAAAGTAGGTTACAATTTAGGTCAGTGATTTTCAACTGGTATGCCACAAGA